ACAAAATATGCGCTTTAAGACCTCTTGGTTTCTTAGCATTTGTATCATTAAATCTAATACTTACATGTAGCAGAGATGGGGACTCGAGTTAGAGACTCTTAAGTCGCACACACAGTGACTTAAGACTCGACTTGAGACTCATCCTCAAAAGACTTCAGACTCGACTTGGACTCGAGGTGCAGGACTCGTGAACAATATTTATTTTTAGGAAATGTCTGATGAGCTTGCTGTTATTCCCTTCCTTGCGTTACCTATAACCTTCCAACATAACACCTAGTATCAGCTGTGTGTGGCCACATGTGAGAGAGGACAACAAACACCACAGCTGCTGCGCTATTCATCATAAACTTTGGCTTTAAAACTTCATCCAACAAGACCCAAACAAATGGCTACATGGTTGTGCTCTGTAAGTTAAAACAGATTACAGGTTTATTGTTGACCATGTAACGTCACAGTTTTATTTAGTTAACGTTACACTGGGTTTAAGAGTCTGCGTGTTGACTTACAGTATTTAATAAGCCATCAATAATTGCATTTCACATGGTTGTGCTCTGTAAGTGAAAAACAGGTTACAGTTACAGAATCCCTTATAGCTATTCAGTTTTATAAGCAACCTGGATTGAACACAGCAGGTGATACAGCATTCGTAATAACCACGAGAGACTTGAGACTTGACTTGGACTCTAGCTCAGAGATTTGAGACTTGACTTGGACTCTAGCTCAAAGACTTGAGACTTGACTTGGACTCTAGCTCAGAGATTTGAGACTTGACTTGGACTCTTGCTCAAAGACTTGAGACTTGACTTGGACTCTAGCTCAAAGACTTGAGACTTGACTTGGACTCTTGCTCAGAGACTTGAGACTTGACTTGGACTCTAGCTCAAAGACTTGAGACTTGACTTGGACTCTAGCTCAGAGACTTGAGACTTGACTTGGACTCTAGCTCAAAGACTTGAGAATTGACTTGGACTCTAGCTCAAAGACTTGAGACTTGACTTGGACTCTTGCTCAGAGACTGGAGACTTGACTTGGACTCTTGCTCAGAGACTTGAGACTTGACTTGGACTCTTGCTCAAAGACTTGAGACTTGACTTGGACTCTTGCTCAAAGACTTGAGACTTGACTTGGACTCTTGCTCAAAGACTTGAGACTTGACTTGGACTCTAGCTCAAAGACTTGAGACTTGACTTGGACTCTTGCTCAACGACTTGAGCTTTTCTGACATTTAGAAGTAATATCCGGGATTAACGGGTTTAACTTCACAGCTGATGCCATCCTTTATGCTGGGAAAATCAACCAGAGCGCAATGAATCTTGGGATACCTTGGGCTGCGAAGGATCTAGCTATTAGATCATCCAAACTGAGAAACAGAAGGCTGCATTTCAAATAGGACAGCTTAGTCACATCGACTGGCACATTCGGTCTTCAGATGCAGCCTTCAAAGATCCCTGAGCTGAGACTCAGTTCACCTATGGCTGCAGGTTGGGCAGTCCTCTTATTTTCACTACTCACAGACTCAACCTCACAGCATTCCTCATCACTGAGCATGAAGACTTTGTTCCTTCATTTGATTGCTTATCTCTGCATCTCTGTTTTCATTTTTACTTTTGTGGTTTCTTTCAGGCAGTTGGCAACTTGCATTAGTGATTTTTCCCTCATCGCACCATTCTCTTGATTTGCTGCAGCTTTTTTTTAAAGCGAAGGCAATGATGTTGTCAATGGAGCCAAAGTTGTTGACATGAGCTGCAAGATGCAAGAATGAGTGTACACTGTAGACAAGAAATCTTTGGCCATACAAAATCCCTCCTTTTTTAACGAAGTACCTCAGGAGATCATGTACAAATGGACTGTGAATCACAGCCAGTTGCGGTGACACTAATGTGCACATAGCTGTACTGAAGGTAGCACACTTCAGGAAGTCCAGTTGCAGTTCAAGTCCAGTTGCCCTTGATTTTTAACCTTTCTTTGATAACTATGTACTGGGTGACTAGGAACCTTCACAGATTGTCGGAATTACGGTGCCTCCTTGCTGATAGACCCATAGCGAACCAAATGTTCTTCCAGGCATTACTATTCATATTTATATTGTGGTTGTCCGGGGATGTCATCTGATATTGCTGATATAGCTCATCAAGCGTTAAATGCTCAATGCTCCCATTGAAAAGAATGGAATGAAAACGCTGGCAGCAGGAAAAAACGCTTTTGTGGACACAGGCCCTTATTAGCACTCTAGTTGGCACCCTGGAAATGATAACAAACAAAAAGTCTCTCCTTAGGAGTCATATATTCTGAGCAGTGTTGGGGTAACGCATTACAAAGTAACTAAGGCCAAATGACTAAGGCCAAATGACTAGTGTCAGCAAAGAGGCACCGTAATTCTGACAGTCTGTGAAGGTTCTTAGTGACTTTGTAACGTGTTACTGTAATGCAGTAATGTAAGGCATTGCTGTTGATAACTTCAGTAATCACATTACAGTTACTAATAACAACACATTGCATTACTTGCGTACTGGTTCTTGAACTATCAATAACGGGAGAAGAAAAATAAATCAAACGTCCCTTTTCATGAGTGTTTGCGTAACACTTTTCCGACCTCACTTTTGAATTCAGCGCCAGTTCATGAGGACGCAGAAATTGCAGAGCTGCTAAAGAAGTCTTTCAAGGGTTTGAAGTATTATTTCACATTGTTTTGCGAAAGGACAGCGAGTCCTCCATACACGCCAAAGTTAGTCATGGAGGTCCACAAGGATCTGTCCTCGGACCAATCCTGTTCACTTTTATATGCCTTCTTTAGGCAATATTATCAGGAAATATTCCATAAACTTTCATTGTTATGCAGATGATACTCAGTTATATCTATCGATCAAACCAGATGAAACTAATCAGTTAGCTAAACTTCAAATGTGCCTTCAGGATGTTAAAACCTGGATGACCTGTAATTTTCTAATGTTAAACTCAGTTAAAACTGAAGTTATTGTTCTGGGGCCTAAGCACCTCCGTGACGCATTATCTAAAGATATAGTTTCCCTTGATGGCATCGCCCTGGCCTCCAGCACCACTGTGAGGAATCTTGGAGTTATCTTTGATCAGGACATGTCGTTTAAGTCTCACATTAAGCAAATTTCAAGGACCGCCTTTTTTCACCTATGTAGTATTGAGAAAATTAGGAACATCCTGTCTAAAAATGATGCAGAAAAACTAGTCCATGCATTTGTTACTTCTAGGCTGGATTAATGCAATTCTTTTTATCAGGCTGCTCGAAAAAGTCATTAAGACTCTTCAGCTGATTCAGAATGCTGCAGCACGTGTTCTGACAGGAACCAGGAAAAGAGATCACATTTCTCCTGTCTTAGCTTCTCTGCATTGGCTTCCAGTAAAATCCAGAATAGAATTTAAAATCATTCTTCTTACCTACAAAGCTCTTAATGGTCAGGCACCATCTTATCTTAAAGAGCTCATAGTACCTTACTACCCCACCAGAGCACTGCGCTCCCAGAATGCAGGGTTACTTGTGGTTCCTAGAGTCTCCAAAAGTAGACTAGGAGCCAGAGCGTTCAGCTATCAAGCTCCTCTCCTGTGGAACCAGGTTCCAGTTTGGGTTCAGGAGGCAGACACCATCTCCACATTTAAGAGTAGGCTTAAGACTTTCCTCTTTGATAAAGCTTATAGTTAGGGCTGGCTCAGGTGAGTCCTGAACCATCCCTTAGTTATGCTGCTATAGGCCTAGACTGCCGGGGGATTTCCCATGATGCACTGAGCTCCTCTCTCCTCTACTTTCTCTCCCTCTGTATGCAACCTCATCCCATTATTGCATGTTACTAACACAACTTCTCCCCTTTCTGGTAGTCTTGTGCTTTCTCGTCCCTCTCCTCTCTCCTCCTATCACTTCCTGCAGGTTTTCTGGCTCTGGAGCTGTGGAGTCTGGATCTGTGGCTGCGGGTCACCTGCTGCCCCCGTGTTCCTGCTCGACACCCTCTACTGCAACGACTATTGTTGCTAGTCTTACTGTTATTATTGTTATTATAATCATTAACATTACGATTGTTACCATTAACACTACTATAAATATCTGTACCATTTTTCATTTAGTCTATAGCAACATCACCTTTACTGTCTGTACCTCTGTGTGTATTGTGTAGACTGTTTCCCTCCCCCCCCCCCCCTCTCTCTCTCTCTCTCTCTCTCTCCTTCACCCCCAACCGGTCGAGGCAGATGGCCGCCCACCCTGAGCCATGGTTCTGCTCGAGGTTTCTGCCTCTTAAAAGGAAGTTTTTCCTTGCCTCTGTCTCCTAGTGCTGCTCTTGGTGGGAACTGTTGGGCTTCTGTAAATATCATCACAGAGTACGGTCTAGACCTGCTCTTTTATGAAAAGCGCTGTGAGATAACTGTTGTTGTGATTTGGCGCTATATAAATAAAATTGAATTGAATACAGACAGTGATATTGAGAGACCTTTGAATCCTCATGAGAACCAATCGAGGATAGTGGAAGCAGTCATGGACTTTATATCTACAACAGGATTACCCCTCTGGGAATGGTGATGCCATAAAACGATAATGAGAATGAACCGTGAGAGGCAGCAATATGCCGTAAGGCATCTAGTCTGCCGGAAAGCCAGAAGAAGAAGAAGAAGAAGAAGGTTTGGCCACTTGGTGTCGCACCTGAGTTCAGACTGATAGTGACGCACAGCCCGGGGCAGCAGAGGAAGAGACGGCAGATACCGCACCTTCGACCAAGGTAAGCGAACAAAGACCAACTCCAAAAGGAATGAAAGGACTACAAGACCACGGGCTGAAGGTTTTCTGTGGTTAATGATCAAACTAAATGAAATGTCAACGTCTTCTGTGTCACGATGGTCAATTTCAAAACAAACTACTCGGTCGGTAGTAAGTAGCTAACGTCTACTAGCTAACTTTCCTTTAGCTGTTCCTTTTGGTAACTTCAAGGTGTCAAGTGCGTTAAAACGGAAACTGGTAAGATATTTCAAAATTATAATTCACGCTGTCTTTTCCATACACGAGTTTTATTTTGAAGGCAGTGTCCGATGTTGTTCCGGTGTTCTCTGCGTGACTTGACGCAGCCAGGAACTTTAATGGCTAACTAGGTAGCTAACTAAAGCTAGCAGGTTAAATCATTTGTTTACGAGGCTGTAGCTCAACGGAAACTACATCAACTTAAAATTGTAAGCTATAAATAGTCAAATCTCACGTTAAAGTGCCTCAGTTATTTACTTAAATCTCTCTCTACGTACATACCAATACTTTTTAGGCAGTTTACGGCGACGTTGCAACCCGAAACTAACAACTTTGGGACCTACGTGTTGTTGACTTTGGTCTGTTTCTCACAGGAGCTGAGCTAAACTAGCTGAACTAGCTCCAACACGGTCAGTTCCTGTTTATATTCTGTTTAAGTGTAAACTGTTGGCTACATTACACGTTAAACAAACATGATGTTAGCTTCAGTAGCGTCAGGTTCCTGCTCCAAGTCTAATTAACTGCCTTTCTGATTGAACTAACGTTACACCTCTACAGGTTAGTTTGCTGTCAGACTGTTTCAGGCCATTAAAGGCTGTGGTTTGAGGCTCTGCTACAGTGTATATGACAATTAATTAACTAATGCCAACTATGCTTTAAGTATTTAATATAAAGAGGTCAATATTTCATATTACACCACCACAGATGTTTAAACAGTTGGAATGTAACGATTATCCAAATCCATGGTTGGGTTCAGACCTCAGTTTGGTTGTCTTTATTTTGTGTGTGTGGGGGGGGTTATTATTATTATTACTACTATTACTCTAACTCGATGGTATGATCACTGAATCATGACTGGACCAAAATAGTCGCCTGACGTTAAGACAATAAAGTAGGTTGACAGTGTAATATTTACAAAATATAGGCCTACAGCAGCCCTCTCTTTAAATGCACATCCCACATATACTTAATATACCTGCTGCCCAGGTATATTAACTGCTATTTAGTCACATTAGTCTCGGTTACAGGCAAAGTGTCTCATGTAGGGCTGTACATAACGATTATTTTTCAAATTGATTAATCTAATGATTATTTTTTCGATTAGTGGATTAATCTAAAGACAATTTTTTTGTATTCTAAAGAAAAAAATGTAGCCTGTTGATTAACATAATTTATCCAAAATAAATATCAAAACATGTGTAATCAATATCAGTATTTTATTCAATCATCCTGATGAAGCACATTAAAATTAATACAATTTCCACTCAATGATGTGTAGTGATAATAATAACAGACATTAATTAGGCTACTTTACTTAAAACTTTAAATGTTTCTGACATGGATTTATTGAGTCAATATCAATATGAATGAACGTAGGAATCGGTATTGAGTCATATGCAGTATGGTAATCAAATGTATTTCTGCATCAGTGTGGGGCAAAGAAAACCCCTGAAAGGATTCACAGACTGTACAGACGATGTAATGTTGGATTCAGCTGTTTTCTCGCTCATAGGTGGCCTTTAAATAAACAGTAAAACGGCTGAAAGTAAGACGACACACAGTGTAATGTTGGTACGGTGCACCATGACAGCAGCGGGGCAGTATTTACTTTTAACATTAAGGCGATGAAGAAATACAAGCTAATTTGTATTGATTGGTCAGAGAGACTCGTCACTATTCACTGCATCATCATTGCCCGCGCCTGACAGAGGCCAGCAGCAGAAAGTTTAATATTTTACAATTTTCGTACTTTATTTCATCACTAAATCCACTTCTGAGAAGATTGAGGTGAGAAAGCAACTGTGTAGGTTTCAAATATTGCCAGTTTTACAAAAAGTGATGGCGGAACAAAAATGTGCTTCAAAGTTTTTGGAGTTGAGGAGCTCCGCAAGTGGCTGCGGGGGAAGCCTGCGCCGACCGCGGGAGGAGCTCGCGAGGCCGCCAGCCGCCTGCTCACAGAGCAGTCTGGTCCCACTGTCACAGAGACCGCTGCAGCAACAACGGCAGAGGAAAACACAGCTGGAAGGTTTTCATACCGCTTAACTGTCTTTACATTCTGAGGAAGGTTCAAACGTTTTAACTTTAAAAAAAGAAAGCTGTATGTGGGTCGCTGGTGTGTGTGTCGCATTGAACATTAAGTCGCGGCAGTTGTGTGTGGCGTCGCTATGACGACCAGCTACACTGAGGGGTACTATTGCTGCGTTCCCGGCAACTCGGAGCTGGGAAATCTATCCTGGAACGCCACGTGAAGTCGGATTTCCTACTTGTGAACTCGGAGAAAAAATCTGTACCCCGACTTCACGAGTAGCAGCGGAATTACGTCACAAAACAATGTCGGCGCCCATGGAAGCCCACATTGTAAATGGTAAACCATAAACTAAAAGGCAACAAAAAGTATATTTAAATGTATTTCTATTAAAATAATCCATACAATCATATAGTAAAACCTGTTCTGCATACATTGATGTAGAAATATGTTAGGCCTATTAGGTAGCTGGCTACAGTAAAGAATCTCATATAGTCATCTTCTCTGCATAAAAGTTTTGTTAAAAACATTAGGAAGGGTAACCTACAACATTGACTGTCTTGAGGGTTACTAACTGATGTAGCTAGAGGGGTACACAGAACTATTAACGTATAGGCTATTTATGTCCATTGTTGCAGTTAAACTGCCATCCTTTTAATTAACACCTAAAACACTGCTGAGGGTGCAACTGTGTGTCCACTTTGTCACAGTCAGCCATGGTTTTCGTTCACTTTCAGCGTCATGCACCAGCATGCGCTGGAACGCTTTGATGTCGGAAGTTTCAACTGGGAAATATCTCAGTTCCCACTGGACTTGAACTCGGCATATCTCTGGGTACTATCTGCAATAGAAAACGGAGCACGGCCAAACTGACTCGAGTCGAGGCGAGTTGAGCTGGTACTGCTAATGGAAAATCGGCTTTTTTTCCATTTCACAGAGCACACGGAGCAGCACGTTGAGTGTCTGTCTAAAATACTCCAAACTTTAGATGGTCGAAGGCATGGCCTTGTAGCTGGAGCTTGTCCGGGGGAACGCTTCGACGCACGTAATGCGAGTAGACATATTTACGTAATCGGTTACGTCGAGAAATCGCCCCAGCGCTAGTCTCGTATTTGAATAAGCACTGACGTTTGTCTGACAGAAAAGTCACTACAGCGACGTTACGAAGGCGGACCTGCAGTTAAACGACAGTTTCAGTGGAATCCTTACAGCATCCGATCAGCTTCAGTGTATTAAATTTAGGGCTAGGCAATACGACCAAAACTGTTAAGATATGGATAATTATCAGGATAAAATGTCATCATTATTTCTTTCAGGTTTAAATTCAGATTTGTGCTCCTGAGTGAAATTGAAGAAACCAAATGGTTAATTGTGGTTTAAAACATTTCTTAATGGTCGGAAAAAACACTTGAGTGGATCACTTCACAAATCTGAGGCAAAGCATTTAAAACTGTTATGATAAAATCTGTTTTCAACAAATATGTTCTATGAGTAAAATGAAAAATCTTTTTTCAGTCCCTTTTCCTCAACAACATAAATAATCTTAAAAGAAACCTCACGTGCTGATTCGTTTGTGATTCACATGAAGGAATTCAACATGTTTTTTTTTTTTGAGGAAAATTAACCTGAACCGAACCTGTTGATACGCAGAGAGCGCGAGCAGAAAATGTCCAAACTGGTTAAATATTACCAACAGCTTTGGTTGTAAAGTATGCTACTACTGTCGTTAGTCAGACAGATGTAAATGATGTACAGCAGGTGCTCCATATTCACACACGAGTTCCCCTAGTCCACCGCACAGTGTACAGATGAACCTGCTGAAGGATTTTTATGTTGTTTCACTACTTAAATCTGCTTTAAATGTAGAAACATGTTGGTGTTCAGGATGCTTCAACTAGGGCTGGGCGATATGGACCAAAAAGTCATATCCTGGTACTTTTGGGCAGAATTCCGGTATAAAATATATATCTGTATTTTCTGCTTAGTTGGCTGGCGGGGGGTGTCAATTCTAGTGGCCATGATTTTACTTTTGTAGTAAATTTGCTTGTTTCTTATTTCACTATTTTAATTATATTTGATTTTCCATCTTAAGTGTCACTCACTTATTGACATCACACTCACAGACCTAACGTTGTCTGCTGCAAACACGTCAGAGTGCCCCGCCGCTTTCTGTCTCCGGTCACTTTCTCCTCAGTAGTAGGCTACATTGTATAAAGTCGCCAAAAAACCCCAGAACTTGTCTTCTGGACTTTTCTACCCACATGTTGACGACGTAGCCTATCAAAACAAAACCAACGTGCTAGCTAACGAATGACATGTGACTGGTGTATTCACTGTTGCTTTACCTGGTCCACTCTTGTAAATATCCACCGTGTCGCTACTTGTAAGTAATCACTCTGTGTGTCTCTGATAAATGCTACAATGTGTCGCCTAGCCTGGGCGGCCCGCCGACTGACTGAACCGTTGTCATTTTCTTATTACAAGCCAGGTCTTTAGTACTGTGTCTCTCTCCATGTTGTTGAGAGTTTGTGAGTAGATGGCTGCATGCAGATGTAGAGGGAGGGGCGGGGCTGTGTGGTAAGGGAGAGAGAGGAGAAAACGCTGGCAGGACTTTACAGAAACAGTAATTAATTCAACATCAAACTATATTAGTATAAATGATCTAATTTTATGTCTCTTGAAATTATATCGGTATACCTCGTTATACCGATATACCGCCCAGCTCTACTTCAAACCCCGTCTCTCTCACACCATGAGCTCTTGCATAAATCACATTTCTTCATATCTGCACTGTCACAATGTTATCATCGCTGTGCTCGGGGAGCTGAGCCAGCCGCTTTCCTTCCTCAATTGGGCCAACAGTCAACTCCTTTCATACTTCACATTTCTTAGAGCTTAGCTCAGTGTCGTAACATCGACTTTTTGCAGTTTGCTCTGCTGCATCCTTCAGCCCTCCGTCATCCCGCCTCCTCAGTGGTGCAGTGTTTCTGCTATGTGGCGGCGCCCTGAATAGACATGTGTTTCCAGTGGCGTGCACTGAGAGGCTCTCTGCTTACTTCATCTTCTGTGTGTGTTTCCAAGTAAAGCATGGCGATGACCGGCCAGAGCTCGTGTTCCTCCATGAGTAACCACACCAAGGAGCGGGTCACGATGGCCAAAGTGACCCTGGAGAACTTCTACAGTAATCTCATCGCCCAGCACGAGGAGAGAGAGATGAGGTAACGCCCACAGGTTTTAGATCTTCACACAGATTTTTCAGTAGCTGCACGCTGACTTTAGATGACCATAGTGTTGTAATGGCATGCTTTTTATTTTTCATCAGGGGGTGTGGCTTATGTCGGGTTAAAAGCAGCATTATGTTGTGTTTTTAATCTTTAAAATAACCGTCTCAGTCTCTAATAACACACTCTGGCATTGGAAACCTTTCGCTAGAACGGCATAATGCTTTACAGCACCACAACACCTCAAAATGACTCTTCAGCAAGCTATAAGAAGAAGCAACAATTATATAATGTACAATGTGAGTTATTTGGAAGAAGCTAGCTTGGTATTCTCAGTAAAGATGACAGAGGCTGCAAAGAGTCTGAGGAAGCGAGGAAGAGAAAAGAAAGAGACCAAGCTAGACAGCAGCTTACGCAAGAGCACTTAGAGTATAGCTAGTAAATTTGCTAACATCAGTTCCAGATTTCTAGCTAGCGGCGAGTTTCAACTTTTCAACTGGTGGAGTGTGGTGCCGTTGTCGTCCACACATGGTAGCAGCGCCAAATCACACCAGATCTTGCATAATGTTCCTTTAAGTTGAGGCAAGGCCACTTCCTGTTGTGACAAGTTCTATCACATACTCCCCACCGTCCAGATGTTTTTTTGTGAGGCAGCTGGCACATTTCTTTATTTAAAATGCAGATTTCTGCCACCTGCTGATGGTCATAGGAGTGTAAAGGGACACAGAAACCCTGGCTCAGTACATGTGGTGGTTTGAGTGTCGCATCAGGGAAAGACAGTTGTCATTAATTTTGGAAAGTATAAACGGTGCCTCATCGGCAGGAATTCTTTCTCCAAACCGAGATGAGGTTGCAATCAGATAGTTGAGAAACGTCAGTGTACAGAGACTGATCTGACGGGACCTGCTTCTGTGGCTGTAAGCAGTACTAAAGGTCAGTTTGTCTTTTCAGGCAGCAGAAGCTGGAGAAGGTGATGGATCAGGAGGGCCTGGCTGATGAAGAGGTGAGTAACAAACCTGCAATGTTTTCCCAGCATGCTTTGTGGCAGTATGGGAGAATTCTGTCGAAGATCCCAAGGTTGTTTGGTCTGTTTGGAATTTTAGATCAGCTGGATCAGCGCTGTAAAGTGCTTTATGTTTATGTCCTTTGAGAGAACAGTAAGCATTTAAGTGTCTGAGCCAGAAGTCAGAATCAGAAAAATGTGAAGGTAAAACACGGCCTGGAAGAAGCCCGAGAGTAAGTAAAGTCCATAAGAAGTAACATGTCTGCAGGAACGTTAAACAGTTTAGTTTAAGCTTGGCAGTATTCTGAAATTATTCCTTTACAGTGGAAACTGAAAAATCTATTGTACTAAGATCACCTGGAGGAAGTGTATAATAGTGAGTTTTACTTATTGCTTTGAACAGATACAGTTATGAGCGAGGTTAAGAGCGCATCACACTGGATGGTGAATTTAAAGGTCTGTTTCTGCAGAAACGAATGCGGCGTTCTCAGCATGCGAGGAAAGAGACGGAGTTTCTGCGTCTGAAACGCACACGCCTGGGTCTTGAGGACTTCGAGTCCCTGAAGGTGATTGGCCGAGGAGCCTTTGGAGAGGTAAAAACCTTTTTATAAATACCCTGAGCTGATCAGATAAATGCTTTTCTGTCATGTGCAATGAAAAGGTCTTTTTAGCTTGCTGACACAGGATCACAGGTTGAGATATCTTGGACATCATAAACTACTGTTAAGTAGTGAGGTTTCCCTCAGTGTATTTTAGCAGAAGCACAGCTCTGTCTACACGTGTAAACATCCTGAACTCATCCATCTATCAGCAGAAACACAGATTTCTCTTAATACCTTGTGTTAGGGTTGGGCGATGTCTACAAAATTTCCAATCGGACGATGTCTACATTGAAACATCGGGATGGACGATGGAATCGGGGGCGTGCGTGTGTGCGTGCAGGGAGTTTTAGCGGTCGCCTCATGTGCATGTGTTTACTTGCACAGACTTTACTCGGTTAAAAACTTGGTAGCCTATGACGTAGCACGGAGCAGGTAAAGCAGCAGAGAACACACAGAGTGCAGACGTTGGTTTGGTTGTTTAATAGGCTGCGTCATTAACAAGCCCACAAGCGGCTCACCTGCTGCCGTGATAACAGATCGCGGGTGGAAACGTACGGAAGGCAACTTTATAAAACATACTGCTGATGGAGAAAGTGGTGTAGACGGGCAAGGAGGGGGACAGAAAGAGGAACTGAGGTTTGGGCCTCTTGTGTGTCTGAGTGTGGGGGAAAAGAGAATTCTGAGGAAGGTGCGAAGCATTTTTTTTTTTGCCGGGGGTCAGGGTTTTACAATCACGATGCTTGCTCAACCATCGACCACCTGTAAGCCATCGACGATGGCATCGTCTATCTGCATAACCCTACCTTGTGTAGGACTGTTTTAAAGTGTCTCTGTTAGGTTGGTGTGAGCATTGCTGTGTTTGCCTGCAGGTTCGTCTGGTGCAGAAGAAAGACACCGGTCACGTCTACGCCATGAAGATCCTCCGCAAAGCCGACATGCTGGAGAAAGAACAGGTGAGGCACTCACACACACACACACTCTATAACCCTGTTGCTGCACCTGTGGGACGTCTTTGAACCTGTGTCTGTCTGTTAGGTGGGTCATATCCGAGCTGAGCGGGACATCCTGGTAGAGGCAGACAGCCTGTGGGTGGTCAAGATGTTCTACAGCTTCCAAGATAAGATGAACCTCTACCTCATCATGGAGTTCCTGCCTGGAGGTAGGACCCCCTAACACCAGACTTTGGAGAGAGCAAGACCAATCACAAGCCAGCTTTTAAATTAAATTATTAATTTATTATCCAGCAAGTGTACAGTGACTGAGGCTATGGTTTTCTCAGGAAGGACACCCAACCCCAGCAGATTTAGTGCAGTGGTGTATAAATGCTCCGTACATGTATAGCGCCTTTCTAGTCTTTTTCGACCACTCAAAGCGCTTTTACACTACATCTGCATTCATACAATTCGGGGTTCAGTATCTTACCCAAGGACACTTCAACACGCAACCAGGGGGAGCCCCCTAAGTACTTTACAGTTTAAGGCTCCACATCCACACTGTTATGTTTTTGTTTTAAACCGCAGACCTTCTGCTACGTTTCCACCTCCCATACAGACTAAAATGAGGAATCCTAACACCTAAAACGTTGAAGTTCGAAAACGCTGATGACTACGTTTTTTTTTTTTTTTAAACTCCGGGGTAGCGTTTTAGTTTGGACAGGTGAAAACGGAGGACTTTGAAAACGATTACACACATTAAGCTGGACCTGTGAGAAATTTCAAGTGAATCGGACTTACTGTGGGAGGGGCGTGGCCTTTCAAAGTTTGCATTTTTAAGTGTTAATTATAGCGCCACCATGTGGCCGATTGGGGTCACATTTCTAGGGAAGCAGGTATGCAAACTCCTCACCTTTTTGCAAAATTCACCATTTTGAAACCAAAATGTTGAAGGAGGGGAGAGAAAAAAAAAAAATTGTGAAGGGGTCACTCATTGCTAAGACAGCATTTAGGCCTACCAGTTTTATTTACAGAGTCCACTCTAGCATGAGCTTTGCAACTTTACAACTGGCTGTGCCTACCCATCGTCACTCCTAATGCCTCAACCCAATCAGGCAGCGTAGGGTGGGTCTTTTTTTCAAGTCTGCTACACGGGTCTGACAGCTGAACACGTGAGGACGGTAAAAGACTGCCAAATGAGCTGTCCATCGGAAAGCAGGTGTAATGTAAGACAGACTTATTCTAGCTTACAATGTTAACTGTCCTGTCTGATACAGAAATGTTGCCAATTTTAAACTTTGCCGCTGTTAATGTTAGCTAAGTTAACTGTTCAGAGCAGTGGCAGCAACCTGGATGTAATGTAGGCTAACATCAACAGGATAAAAAGTGTCGGCATCTGTGTTAATTACACTGGGGACGGTGGGGACATGTCCCCATCACTTTTTTGAAAGTGTTTGTTAAAATGCTTTCCTGCTGTAATGTTGAAATGTTGAAATTTCTCACTGTGAGACAAATAAAGGCTGATCTTAACTTAACTTATCTTGATCCTTAAAAAGCCTGCAGCTGAAATGGTAAAGAAGAAATGAAAGGCTTTGAGAAAGGTTTATTTGCCCCCTTTTTTTTTTTTTTTAAAGTAAGAATAAACTACTGATTATAAACAACTTCTTGTTAAAGTTCTATTGCGGCAAATTCTCCGTTCTCTCCCTGTGAACATGACAAAAGAGGAGGGAAGGCTAAATCATGCTGCAGTGTGTTGACTTAGCAGGGAAATATTACATGAGAAAGTTGATCTACAGAAGAAATGTATATGAAAGCAACGCAGGCTACCTGCGAGCTGCACTGCATTAGATTCTGTAATACTTATAGTTTTTGAATTGTCACCTGAATTTTGTGTTTCCCTTTATAAATTGATGTAGGAAAGGCAGTACAGAAAATGTCACCAGAATGTAGGAAATTAAGTGTTTAATGCTCAAAGTGTTCTGGGGGAGGAGCCCCAGACCCCTCGACTCATATTTCAGCTTTGATGATTTCTGTTAAATACTGTTATCAGTACTGTTACTATTATCATCACATCTCATTCTTGTGACACCAGTATGGTGCATCGCCACATCTCGTGAGCTAATTATATCATTGGACCCCTAATCTGAGCCCTTTGTCCCCACCGCTTTTCAACACAAAGTGACTCCCTTGCGTGATGGTATCTTTCCTTGTTGCAGTACACAGTTGCAAGTAATCTATACAAACATGTAAGCTTAAACAGACCCGTCTGACACTGTCTCTGTGTGTTTATCACAGGTGTTCTGACTCGAGTCTGACCAGGATAAAGACCAGAGGAACTAATCTCAGGAGCTAAACTAGGAACTACCTTTTTGCCTTTCCACCACAACCAAAACAACCATTAACAAAAGGGAAATTAGACAGCTTAAAAAACAATAGCATCGCTTGAGCTTCTGTTGAATTAATAACGCATGTAGAGGAAGAAAGGAGACTCTCCACAGTAACAATAGGGGTCGACCAATAATCGGCCTGGCTGGTTATTGACACTGATATTCAGCATTTTCCCAATAATCTGCATCGATCATTTTAAAAACAGATAGCTGATATAATTAATATAAAAAGAAAGTGCGTTTTGACTCTGATGCAGCCACCTCTCTGTCTGCTGGAGCCCACAGAGTCGTGAGTACAATATCCCGCCCACAGTACTAGCTGGAGCTAGTGGAGTGTGTAGATTACACAAGTTGACTAGAACTACAGCCATTACTGCAATAAGTACAGCAATACTAGTAAAAGGCTGATACTGCATCAGTACAAGCAGGAACGTGCACCAAGCGATATTTTAATATACTGTCTCATCCACGCAGCTGTGTTTTGGTTTTCACAAGCACATGTGCTAGCTATTCTAAATTTTGAATTAAATCTGTCATCGGCCTAATTGTGTTATAATAAATCGGGATCGGCCCGGGGGAAAAAAACAAAACCCTCTGCTGCTGCTTTCTTTTATTTTAATTTTTTTAAGGTACGTAGCATCTCAGCTAAACAGGCTACAGACAGAGGATTTAGCTTGGTTATAACTATCTATAGCCAAGCTAGCACATGTGCTCGTGTAAAAGCAAAACACAGCTGCGGTGGATGAGACAGAGCAGATTAAAATATCGCTTGATGCACGTTCCTGCTTACTGTACTGATGCTATCAGCCTTTTAGGGACTAATGTTTTTGCACTTACTTACAGGAACGTGGCGTAGTTGGTCAACTTGTGTAAACTACACTCATCTCCGCTCCGCGTGTGTGTATTTACGGAGCTCTGCTGAGACAGGAGGAGAGGGGCTCCAACGGTGGTGGCTTGTTCGTGGCTACTTCCGCCAATAGTCAGTGTTGATAGGCTATTACTGACTCGTGACTTGAATCAGCTTGTACTGTGGGCGGGGACGTTGCTCCAGCACACAGAGTGGTGAGTACAGACAGAGAGAGGCAGCTGCATCAGAGCCAAAGGAGTGCATTTTTTAATTAATTATATCTGCTATCTGTTTTTAAAAAGACCGATGCAGATTATTGGGAAAAAGCTGAATATCCGCCCGATAATCGGCCAGTCCGATTATTGATTGACCCCTATTTTGTGTCCCTCTGTACAACATGATGACGGCTGAGGCCGTGCTGTTATGGTGCAGGAGACATGATGACTCTGCTGATGAAGAAGGACACGCTGACAGAAAGGCCACTCAGTTCTACATAGCGGAGACAGTGCTGGCCATCGACTCCATTCCCAGCTGGGCTTCATCCACAGAGACATCAAACCAGACAACCTGCTGCTGGACTCCAGGGTGAGTCGACATCTTTATAAGATGAGCAGCTTCTTAATGTGCATGTTTTTGGTTAGAAATTAATGTTCAAACTGAAGGTAAGTGCACCTGATGCGAGGGGGGTTTATGTCTTCGCTGTCAACAACAAAGAGAGAGCAGGGAGCTTTGAGAATAGAGGAGGATACCTAGAAGGGTTGGGTATCAAGAACCGGTTCCAGGTTGGAAGCAAATTCCATGAACTGTGGATTAGATAAGACCCCTGCGTTTGGATTCTGCTTATCGATTCTTAACTTTATTTTCTAGGAAGAAGATGAAGGTCTGTGGTGAAGTGGTTGGAACCAGAGATGAGATCAAAAGTAGACTGAGAATCCATAAAATGAACCCTAATATCCAAATGTCCCTGTAAGTCAATGTGGAGAGAAGTAAACATTCACTAAGCAGAGTCCTATGTGCAACAAGACTTTTACTTATGATGGCAGAAACACAAGCAATCTGTCCAAACATTTATGTAAAGTGCATCATATACAGGGAGAGAAATGTACTGTTTTCGATTGCTGGTAGTT